CATACCATCTCATTTGGGATGCAGCAAAAGCGACCCTAAGAGGGAAAATCATCGCAATACAGGCTCACCTCAATAAACAAGAAAAGTCTCAAATAAGCAATCTCAAACACACCTAACAGAATTAGAAAAAGAACAAACAAAGCCCAAAGTCAGTAGAAGGAGGGAAATAATAAAAATTACAGCAGAAATAAATGAAATTGAAACAAAAATGACAGTAGAAAGGATCAATGAAACAAAGAACTGGTTCTTTGAGAAAATAAACAGAAGCGAAAAACCTTTAGCCAGGCTCACTAAGAAAAAAAGAAGACTCAAATAAATAAAATCAGAAAAGAAAGAGGAGAAATTGATACCACAGAATTACAAAAGATTATAAGAGAATAATACGAAAAACTATATGCCAACAAATTGGACAACCTAGAAGAAATGGATAAATTCGTAGACTCTTACAACCTCCCCAAACTGAATCAGGAAGAAAGAGAATCTGAATAGACCAATCACAAGTAAAGAAATAGAAACAGTAATCAAAAACCTCCCCCAAAATAAAAGTCCACGACCAGGTGGCTTCTCTGCAGAATTCTACCAAACATTCAAAGAAGATTTAATACCTATCCTTCTCAAACTATTCCAGAAAATTGAGGAAGATGGAGCACTTTCTAACCCATTCTACCAGGCCAACATCATCCTGATCCCCAAACCAGACAAGGACAATACAAAGAAGGAAAACGACAGGCCAATATCTCTGATGAAAATAGATGCAAAAATCCTCAACAAAGTATTGGCAAACCAAATACAGCAATACACTACAAAGATCATACACCACAAACAAGTGAGATTTATACCAGGGATACAGGGAGGGTTCAACATCCGTAAGTCAATCAACGTGATACACCACATTAACAAAATGAGGAAGAAGAACCACGTGATCATCTCAATAGACCCAGAGAAAGCATTTGACAAGATTCAACAGCCATTTATGATAAAATCTCTCAATGAAATGGATAAGAGGGAAAGTACTTCAACATAATAAGGAACACATATGACAAATGCACAGCCAACATCATACTCAATGGGGAAAAACTGAAAGCACCCCTCTCAGAACACGAACAAGACAAGGGTGCCAACTCTCACCACTCTTAATCAACATAGTCCTGGAGGTTTTGGCCAGAGCAATTAGGCAGGAAAAAGAAATAAAAGGAATCCAAATAGGCAAGGAAGAAGTGAAACTCTCACTGTTTGCAGATGACATGATATTATATATAGAAAACCTTGAAAAAATACATTGGAAAGCTCCTAGAAGTAATTAACGATTACAGCAAGGTTGTAGGGTACAAAATCAACTTATGTAAATCAGTAGCATTTCTATACTGTAAGATAAACTAACAGAAAGAGAACTCAAGAACACAATCCCATACACAATTGCAAGGAAAAGAATAAAATAGAATAAATTTAACCAAGGAAGTGAAAGACCTAAACAGTGAAAACTACGAGACTTTCCTTAACGAAATTGATGAAGACATAAAGAGATGGAGAGGCATTCCATGCACATGGATTGGAAGAATAAACATAGTTAAAATGTCCATACTACCTAAAGCAATCTACACACTCAATGCAATCCCAATCAGAATCCCAAGGACATTCTTCACAGAAATAGAACAAAGAATCCTAAAATTCATATGGGGCAACAAAAGACCCCGAATTGCTAAAGCAATCCTGAGAAAAAAGAACAAAGCTGGAGGCGTCACAATCCCTGACTTCAAAAGGTACTACAAAGCTATAGTAATCAAAAAAGCATGGTCCTAGTACAAAAACAGGCGCACAGATCAATGGAACAGAATTGAAAGCCCAGAAATAAAAGCACACATCTATGGACAGTTAATCCTCGACAAAGGAGCTGAGGGCATACAATGGAGAAAAGAAAATCTCTTCAACAAATGGTGCTGGGAAAACTGGACAGCCACATGTAAAAGAATGAAAATGGACCATTCTTTTACGCCACTCACAAAAATAAACTCCAAATGGATCAAAGGCCTACTGGTAGGACCTGAAACTATAAGGATTCTAGAAGAAAATATAGGCAGTATCCTCTTTGACATCAGTCTTAAAAGGATCTTTTTGGACACTGTGTCTTCTCAGACAAGGGAAACAATAGAAAGAATAAACAATTGGAACTTCATCAGACTAAACAGCTTCTACAAGGCAAGGGAAACTAGGACTGAAACAAAAACACAATCCACCACTGGATAAAAATATTTTCAAGTCATATACCCGACAAAGGGTTAATCTCCATAATATATAAAGAACACACACAACTCAACAACAAAAAATCAAATAACCTGATCAAAAAATGGGCACGAGCTATGAACAGACATTTCTCCAAAGAAGACATACAGATGACTAATAGGCACATGAAAAGATGCTCATCAGCACTGATCAGGGAAATACAAATCAAAACTACACTAAGATATCACCTTATACCCATTAGAATGGCTAAAATAACCAAAACAGAAAATCAATGTTGGAGAGGTTGTGAAGAAAAAGGAACCCTCATACACTGCTGGTGGGAAAGCAAATTGCTGCATGCGCTATGGAAAACAGTATGGAGATTTCTCAAAAAAGTAAAAATAGGAATACCATATGACCCAGCCATCTCACCACTGGGTATCTATCCAAAGAACTTGAAATCAGCAATTCAAAGAGATGAATGCACCCCGATATTCATCGAAGCATTATTCACAATAGCCAAGATATGGAAGCAACATAAGTGCCCATTGATTGATGACTGGATAAAGAAAATGTGGTATATACATAAAATGGGATACTACTCAGCCAAGAAAAGGATAAAATAGTCCCATTCACAACAACATGGATGGTCCTTGAGAGTGTTATTTTAAGCGAAATAAGTCAGATAGAGAAAGACAAACTCTGTATAACTCTACTCATACATGGAAGATAAACAAACACAAAGACAAAGAGAACAGATTAGTGGTTACCAGGGGAAAGGGGGGTGATGGGTGGGCACAAAGGGTGAAGTGGTGCACCTATAAGCTCCCTGACAAATAAGAATGTACAACTGAAATTTCACAATGTTTTAACCTATTATACCCTCAATAAAAAAAAAATCTAGGTCTACTGAACACACTGTAGTGTATGATACAAGGAGAGAATGCACTGATCAGAGGGCCCAGGCAAGTGTGCCCATTGTTGGCATAGGTCAACTTAAATTACGTTATTCGGACCAGATATAGACATTGGTCTCTTGAGAGATGATTAATGTGGGTCAGCCCCAAAGACCCTGATCACTTCTGCCTATTAAGATGAGTAGCTGTCATTTGTTGAGCAATAACTAAATGTCAGTTCCTGCATCGCTCAGGGATGTTAGTGGCAGGCAAAAGAAACTCTCGCTTGTTGATCTGAGTAGAAAAATGAGTTTGTTCAAAGGAAGTGAGGTAGCTAATAGAAGTGCAGGAAGGGCTACAGAAGCAGACTTGGGGCCAAAACCAGGACACAGGACAGGTCTGGGGAGGACCCCACTGCCGCAGCTATAATTCAGACCCTGTGGCTGGGACCATAGGGACTCTGGATCCATCTTCTAACACTATGGCCACTGCAGTGCCAGGAATGTGATATTGCCATTGCCACAACCAGAGAGAGGTCTTCGTGGCCCCCACTTTTTGGTCATTAGGTCCACATTCAAAGACTTGAATGGATGCTTCTGTTCAACAGAGCCGAGTCATATCCCTTAGCTGTAAAGGAGGCTGGGAACCTATTTGGCTCTTTCATCTTCAATAATGAGAGGCCGCTACCCACCAAGATCCATAGGAGGAGGAGTTCCAGAAACCTCAGGAAGGTGGTAACGGAGTCAGGCAGCTCACAGTATGTCCACTACACACTGAATACCTAGTGAGGTAGGTACTGTTATCCTCACTTTATAAACGATGATATGATGTACAGAGAGGTGAAGGAAGTTGTCCAGGGTCACACAGCTAGTAAGTGATAGATCCTAGATTCAAACCTGGACTGTCAGACTCCAGAACACACACCCTCAGCCATTGCTCCATACCTCCACTGGATGTTCATGAAATGGAATTTCCAGGGTCACTAAGCTGTGGCTTTCAGATTGTGGATTGTGTGACCTACAGGATACTTTCCTTGGGGTAGAGGTGCCTGAGCGGCCAACTGACCTCCAAGAATCAGCTCCATCTTGTCATTGACTGCAGTAGCTCTGTCCAACATGCAAAGTGGCCCCGCAGGCAAGGCTAAGGGAGGCAAGTGAGCAGGAGGCAGCTCAAAGCTTCTGTCTGGTTTCTTGTTGACTCATTCCCTTGACTTCTGCTTCGATCTCCTTAAGGAGATCAGTGGATACAGAGGAAGGACATTTCCATTCCTTGCCTTAAGATGGGATGTATTCTTCCCTGTTTTTCCCAGTCGTTTCCATTGTGTACACTGTTAGCATCAGTTATGAAGGAACGGACACTGTCCTGTGCATGTGCCAAGGTCGCCCCACCTCCACACCTTTGCTCATGTTGCTCCTTCCACCTGGAATGCCCCTGTTTCCTTCCTTTCTATTCACTACCAATCCATCTAGCTGGGAGTCAGCTCCTTGTTGCCGTGGAAACTTTCATTTCTACAAAGTGTAAAGCAATACACAACTTTCTAAAAGTGTTCTTATTTATAGCTGGTTTTCTTTCCAAAGGAGAGTCTCCAAGACTGAAATTTATCAAATGATACTTTTACTTTTACTACATATTGGAAGATTCATTTCCAAAACGTCTGTGGCAGTTCACATTCCCACCAGTAAAGCAGGAGAGCTGTGCGTTTTGGACAATCTCCCAAGGAGATTCTGAAATGCAGTACAGGATAGGAACCAATGGCTCCGAGCGATCTCAGAATGGCCTCCTGGTTCCTGAAAAGGGTGACAGGAGAGACGCTGGAAGGCAATGAGTGGGCTCCCTAGGGAAGTGAAGAAATGCGGGGTTCTTATCAGCCCTCTCACATCCTTCAGGCGGTGGCAAACCTTTCTTCCTCTGGGGAACTTCCTCCAAGGCCACTATATAAAATGTCAGTGTGGGACGGAGCAACGGAAGATCTGAGATTTGGGAACTCCTCAGGACCCAGGAAGACTTCTTGGTAGGTAAGTGCTTTCTGGTGTCGTGGAACTGGTTCCAAGTAAATGTTCAATCTATCAGGACGCATCTGGCCTGGACTGGGCAGTTCTGGAGGGCTGGCTGGCACTGTGTGCAGCTGTCAGGTTGCATGGGTGTCAGCAGGGACAGGAATTCTTATCCTCTACCTTTCACATTCCTTCCGAGGTATGCCAAAGCTCTCCTTGTCTGGGGAAGGCAGCGATGCACATGTGGCTTCTTGAGCTTTGAGGAGGCAACCCACTTTCTAAGTGCTGTGTACTCCTAGGAAGGCCAATAATCATTGTTTCTGGATCTTCTTTGTTTCAGAGACTGTGAGGGGCCCATTAAGTACAAAAAGTAAAAGTAATAACTCCCTTATTCACACTCAAGTCCACAGGAAAGCCAACCTTGGCTGTCCCTCATTGTCTGATTCATTCTATTCTAGCATCTTGGAGCCTCAGGGGCTGGGCTCAGCATTAGCTTTTCTGGTCCATCCTGACTTCTACTCATGCCTACTCTTTCTCCAGCTAACTCCAAGGTCCCCTAATGGTGTTGCTGTGATTGTGTATGTTTATGACAAACTGTGTTCTCCATTTCAGGACAAAGTCAAGATGAAACTCCCCCTACTTCTGGCTCTTCTATTTGGGGCAGTTTCAGCCCTTCATCTAAGTAAGTCTCTTTGGTTTTCAGTCTTTCTTTCTCTCCTTTGCTCCTTTCTACATTACATAAGGTGAGAGTCACAAAGTCACCCCTTCTCTGGCTATCCCCTATTTCAGGATCTCTGCCTTTAAAGGAGCAGGGTCTCTAGAGCCTGGAGTTAAAGGGACTCTTCAGGGCATCCGTATATCTGCAGTCTTGGTTATAGTATGATATTCTCCGTTTTGTCCTTTCTTCATAATGTTAATGATGATCACAATAATGACTTCCTTTTCCTTTGAGCTCACTGAGTGCACTGTGCTAAACATTTTCTGTGCATCATCTCCTTTAATCCTCATGTCATCCCCACGAGCTCCCCTTGGGAGCTTGCCCATTTGTACACACATATCACAAATAAAGTAAAGCTAGTAGATGATGGAATCAGTACACAAACCCACAACCCCTTGACCCTAAGACCTTGCTCTTAACACCATGACTCATGTGGGAGACTGGGTTCTCCTCAGGGAGCCTTGTTTCAAGTTCCTCTCTTTCCAAGGCTGAAGCCTCAGATGCCTAGGGCAAGGTGGGAACTGTCCATGGTTCTGTGGAGGAAGGGAGAGAGATGTGAAGGAGGTGCAATTGGCCTTTCTCTCTGTCAGGGACTGAAGCACCCAACTTTGAGAGCCCCTTGGGAGATGACACCCTGCCTCAGGATAGGGAGATGCCAGAACGTGGGGCAATGGAGGCTCCTATGGAGGGACTGACGCTGACGAAGGGAGAGGAGGAGGGGGGCTCCGGAAGTGAAGATGTCCCTGAGGGAGAGGGGCTTGTCAAGTCTGTCTCAGCCCTAGAAGAGGTGGACAAAGACTTTCAGTGCCCTAAGGAAGAGGATACAGTCAAACTGGAATGCGCCCCTGGATGGACGACCTGCCGCTTTATTGTGGTGTCGACAGCCATGAAATATAATCAAGCTTACGTGAGTGGCCTGTGGCTGTGACTGAGGCCTGGGGTGGGGAGGAGTGCGTGGAGGGGATGTCTCTGGCCTCTGTCTCACTGTTTATTTTCCTCACTGAGGACCCTGGGGGTGCCAGCATGCGCTGAGGCCCTCAGAGGTGTTAGAGGCAGGTAAGGGGATAAGAGTTGTGGATCATGTGGAAACAGAAGTTGTGTTGTGATCTCCAGTCTTCAAATGGCTGTGGGGTTGGCGTGGGGAGTGGGGGAATGAATTGTGGAGACTTGGAGACCCAGCACTAAGGTAGTGTGAATTCCTGTGGGATGGGCACTTCATTTTCTTCTTTTATCCTGGCTTGCAGGATACTTGCCGGAGGTGCTATGGGGGCTTCCTCATCTCCATCCATGACCACACCTGTAACTACAAGATCCAGTGGGGAGCCAGATTTCTCAACCAGGGTCAAGTCTGGATTGGTGGTGCAGTCAGATATCCGGTAAGACCGGTCCCAGCTCTAAGGGAGCCTCTCCTGACCCAAGTCAGTGCACAACTTACTGCAGATTTCTTTGTAGTTCTGCTCTATGATCCCCTGAAGAACTGGGGATAAACGGACACCTGGGCAAGACATCAAAGGGGCTGCCTAGGTATCAGGATGAGCCAAGGTTTTAGAACGAGGAGGTTTGGGTTCAAGTTCTGCTCAGCCTCTGACTGTCTGTATGACTTGGGCAGGACTGTGAGCCTGGTTCCTTATTTCTAGGATGTGGTTGAAACTCCTGTCCCACCTCTTGTTAGGGCCAGAGGGATCAAGGCATCACAGGGATGCATAGAATGTGATGGTGATGACCACTGTGGATAAACATTTTGGTTGACCAGAACAGTGTCCATCATGGTCCAATAGTCAAGGAAAATAGCTGGCAGACAGCAGGAGGAACAGACAGGGAAAGTGCCAGCTCTCCTTCCTGTCTTCCTTTTGCCTCATGCTCCAACCCACCTTCTCCCTCCTCTATCCTCTAGGGTAGCCGCAGGAGCTTTTACTGGATGGATGGCAGTGCCTGGGATTTTTGGTTCTGGGCTGCTGGCCAGCCTTCGGCCTCTGGTGGAAGCTGTGTGTCCATGTATACCCACGGTGAGGTGGGAGTGGGGATGAAATCTGAAAAGGCCTGGGGAGGTGGGATGGGCTCCTAGAGGAGTTGCGAGGAAGAGCTGGACCCTTCAAGGGAGACGCCTCCTGAATCTACAGACTTCATCTCCACTGAAGTGTGGGGTGGGGTGGGGAGTGAAAACTCCTGGGGCTGAGTCAGGGGAAACAAGAGGCTGAAGGCCGCTTCTGGTTCTGCCTTCACAGGAGGTCGCTGGAGACTATCTCGGTGTGACATGGTCCTCCCCTTTGTCTGTTCCCACTGAGCGGAACCCAGCCAAGACTTCAGAGCTGCCCCCTCCTAGGACACTGCCTCCTTTCGCCTGCCTGCCTCCCCTCCCTTCACCCTCAGCAGTAAAATTGCTTTGCTGAAATTGATTTATTTTTCCTCTGATCCTTGATCCACTCGGCTTAGCCCCACTCATGAACTTTGTGTCCTACAATGATTCCCTATTCCACTGTCCATCATGAAAGGGACCAGAAGTTATCACTCTCACGAAGCATGAAATATGGGATGATGTTGGTGGGGCCATCCTGAAGACAGAGGTATGGGCTCAGCTAGCTCTTTTCATACAACACCAAATTACCGGGCGCCTATGTACAGGTTCTGCCAGGACCCCATCCATCCCTCTTGAACCTTTCACGGTGGATCCTCAATGTCCTGGCCTCTCTCTCCTACAGACTGTGCTTACCTTAATGTGCTAAGAAATTGTCATGACCCAGGTACAGCCGACACACTCGCAGGAGTGGGTATCTGAGCACCCCAGTCCTCGGGGGGAATAATTCTAAGGCATGCCCTGGGTACCATTTCCCAGTGGAATTAACTTCCAGCTACCCATGGAGGTAGCTGTCTTTACAACACATATTTTCTTGTGAATTATTCTCTTTGCTACTAGTACCCTTGCACCTCCCAAACAAATTTGCACACAAATTCTTGACTTAGGATCTGCTCCTTGGGATACCCAATACCAGACAACCTGCTATATGTTCAACCCTATATAAGGCCTGGGAATATGTTAGGACACAGCCCCTTACTGTTGGGGAACATACAGTTGTTTATAATATAAGCACAACAATATCCACTAACTGTTACCACACAGTGCACATACAAATGACCCCTTCTGTGGCAGGCACTATACAGAGATGACCTTGTGTGATCCATAATTATTATCCCATCTTACAGAGCCAGGCTCAGAGAAGGGATGACCTGTTAAAAGATTTTCCAAAGGCTGAATACCCAGATGTGAGCAAGGCTGTGATTTTACTATCTGCTCCAGAGCATGTTGCTTTAACCATTATGCTTCTCTGGGTGGAGGCATTGGCTGATCTCCCCTCCAGGACATGATCTTATGGGGATGGAGCACAGTGCAGGGGGCAGAGGGAGGCGGGCAGGATGGACTCCCTTAACCTTGGGTTCATCTTGGGGCATAGGACTCCAACCTAGCTGGAGGTGAGGGTGTCTCAATCAGAGATGAGGAAGGAAGGCATTCTGAATCCTCTCTCCACCTGGGAGGCAAGCAGAAAGTAAGGGGTCAGTGTCCTGAAGCCCCTTTCCTCCAGGACACCTCAAATCGAGAGAATTACAGATGGGATCAAGGTCATAGAGAGAGGCCAACCAAGATCTTTAAGTTTTTGACTATGGCTCAGATAGGAGAAGCTACTTGCTGAAGTTTGCACAGCAAATTGAGAAAGAGATAGAAATAAAACAGGTCCATTGTAATACTGTAATTGTACCACGATAGTCTGTTGATTTCAAAGATGCTGGAATTCTGAAATACTGTACGGATTCAGCCCTGTGCTGGGTACTGTGGAGGATGCAGCTGAAGTAGAATTTTCACTCCTTGCCCTCACGGACCTTATATTCTGGTGTGGGAAGGCATTACTTCCCTCTATTCCTATATTAATAAAAAGAGTAACAAAATCACCCAGTTATTAAGCATTTACTGGGTGCCAGCCTCTGTGCTAAGCGGTAGGTGGATTTTGCGTTGCCCCTCACAAATCTCTTCTGTTGGGGGCATGTGTTGTGATAGAAGTGTGACTTCCAGTCCGTGGAGATCCCCTTCGGGGGATTAACGTCAAGAAGGGGCATGAAGGAGACGACTGAGTTCCCAGGAACGTCCTGTATCTTGTTGTGGGCACAGTTGTGTGGGAGCATTCACTCTGTAAAACTTCCCTGAGCAGCGTACCATACTTGACAGAATGCATGCTATACATCCACAAAAAATGTTGTACAAAAATGAATGAGTGAAATAAGAGCACTGGCTTTACATTTGAAAATATGGGTTTCTGTGTGCATTTTCTTTCTCCAACAAGATATTAACTAAGCTTTGTGAGAGGAAGATGGTGTGTTTACAATGGAACCTGAGGAGCTCCTCACACCGTCCGAAGCGCAGAGCCGAATCTACACTCAGGGCTTGTGTGTTGATTAGGGTCACAGTTGTAGCCCTGCTTTCCTGACAAGGGCCGCTCCCAACACCATCCGCCAGGGACAGTTCTGAGAGCTGTACTGAAGCTGATCTCATTAGAGGTAGGTTCTGGCATTAGCCTCAGTTTACGGATGAGAAGACTGAGACACAGAGGGCTGACTCTGTGAACTGTGATTTCATTATACATCACACAACACTGCCTCTCAAGATGGCAAGACACACCCTCTGCACAATGTGGGGGTGGACAGACTCTCAGGAGGCAGAGTGTGAAAACCCTATGAACATAAATGCAAACAGTGAGCCAGAGACTTGGAACTTGACGGATGTTGAAAATGTTGGCACCATTGGCTAGAGTGTCTGGAGGTAACAAATTTGGGTGTGTCCAATAAAGGGAGGACTTGGGAGTCAGACAGAGTAGGGTCAGCATGCCACTTCTTATGAGTTGTGTGGACTTGGGCAAGTCATTCAACCTCTCTGAGCTTTTGTAGCAGATATATAGGCTAGAGTTGGCAACACCAGATTGTAGGATGATTTTAGTGACTAATTTAGTAGGATAATGGATGTAAAAGCCTTAACGAAGCATAATATGTGGCCTATGGTAGATCTTTAAAAATGTTATTTTCAGTTTTAAATTAGATAGGCACACTGTGGTGACTGAGCAAGTCATTGGAATGACTTTTCCCAGGGTTCATATGCAAAGAAAACTGGGTCAATGCAGAGGAGGAGCAGGCTGTGGAGAAGGGAGGTGAGTGAGAGGAGGCAGAGGGAAGGCAATCATGAGTGCATAAAGAGCCTGTCTCTGGTGTAGAACTGTCTCTGTCTTACTGAGTGACCTTGGGCACCTGTTTAAGTGCTCTGAGACATCCTTTCATCATCGGTGAAACATGACGTTGAAATGAAACAATGCATGCAAAGCTTGTCATGGTGCTGGTTCATGAGAGTAGTTGACCTTATTGGTCAACCCAACAGCTGAGTGAAATGATGCCCCTGGCCTCGGCCCCAAGAGTTGGGTGAACATGGAGGAGGAGGTCTAGTCCTCTATCCCCTCCTCCACTAAGCGGTCTGAAGTTTGAAACCCAGAGACCAGGGTTTGGGGGCCCTGGAATTGGCCAATCTCCCCAGTCAGCTAGATAAGCTGAGGGTCTGGTCCGTTGGGCTTGGGAGATAACAGCCAGGATGGTTACTCCGCAATCAGGCCCAGAAGTGACCTCTCTGATACTTCTCCATTTGTAGGTCCCCTGGGAGAGCAGAGGAGAGGAAGGAATCCAGGCCTTTTCACCCTCTGAGTTATCTGTTCCTGGTGCCCTGTGAAGGGGGGACTTGGCTGGAATCTGAGGAAAACCAGGAGGTCCCAGACTTGAGTCCTCCCTCCCAACAAGTCCACTAGCTCTTGGCAGTGATATCCAGGTAAGTCACTGCTTAGCACTTGCTAGTCTCTCCTTGGACTGCACTGAATTTGGCTGGAGCTTGGTTGATGGAAGCTGGGTTTGATATTTTTGCATTTATTTTGATTTTTAAGAAAGATTGCGTTGAAATATAGTTTGACTTGACTACTGAATTCTGTAGTGTTCCCTTCAATGTTGCACTCGAGACAAATGCATCACTCACTTCCCTCTAGTCCTGACCCTGTGGTGGTAGATGGCTGGACAGAGATGGAGAGTGGGGTGGGGTGGGGAAGTTGGTCCACCAACGTCTGAATGACTCTGCATGAAGCTTTCTATTCAAGTTGTTGCTGCCTTGCCAGAAAATATGACCTGAGGTTGGACAAAATGTCATATTCTAGATCAGTGATACTCTTCTGGGGCCATTTTGCTCCCCAGAGGACAGTTGGAAATATATGGAGACAATTTCGATAGTGATGACTGGGAGAGGCGTTACTGGGCTCTAGTGGGTAGAGACTGGGGATGGTGCTAAACTTTTTACACTGCACAGGGCAGCCCCCCACAACAAGGAATGCACTCCAAATAGTAAGAGTGCAAAGGTTGAGAATCTTGATCTAGATCCTCAGCGGAGAAGAAAGAGCATAGGTTTTTCAAGCATTAAAGGTGAGAAAGGGAGGGAGAGGGAGAAGGAGAGTGAGGAAAGGAGGGAGGGAGGGGGAGACAGAGAGACAAAGGTTGCAGAGCCAAAAAGACTTCGAAATCTCGGTTCACCCAATTGGAGTGAACTCTTGCCAGTCACTTTCCCTCTTTGAATCTCACTTTTCATGTCTGTGAAGTAGGGATAATCACACATCTTCAAGGGAATGAGATGAAAGTGAATATGCAGGGACGTGAATGCATATAAAGTACTTGTAGATAAGGACCAAGGGGGGCTGAGACTCCCTTCACCTCCTACCTCCTCCTGTCATGGTCTCCCGGATCCCTGGATTCTCCACTCCATTTGTTGGGATATTGACCAAAGGGAGGCTGCTCCTGAGGTTAAGGAGCATTGTTCAGGCCGGGGCCCTTTAGGGGCACTAATAATAACTTTGCCTCGACAATAGACATCTGGGATCTTCTCAGTCACACCAGAGCGGATGGGTACCCACATATGGCAGTAAACCTCAGGAGGCAGGTCCCAGTAGAGAGCATGGCTCAGGGGGGAGAGGATTGAGCAACCTCCTGATCCGCTCCAATGCCCCGCACCCCACCCTGAGTCTCTTCCCACTTCCCCCAAAGCCCAGTATAAGGGTTGCCTCTGGGGCCCAGCAGCCAGAGACACTGAGAGCAGAGCCTGAAACTCAGGAGGTGAGTGCTCCCCCTGGCTGCCCATGGAGGAGGGGTCCCGGACTTGGGAGGAAGCAGGATCTTATCTGGCAAACACCTTGGAGGTCTGACCGCAGGATTATAACGGCCACTGTCCTTCCCTCTTCTTCTCCACTGTGAGTGAAATAGGCCCTGGTCCTGAGCAGACCTGTTCCTCCAGGGTCTGGGCTAAGTGTTGTTCCATTGAGCAGTGATGGAGTTCTCA